GTAAAACATACTCCTAAATTTTACATAATTGAAATGCATGAAATTCAGGGTAGATCTGGCAGAGTTACAGTATTTTCCTTTGGAATTGCTAATATGACCTGCAGTGATGATGTCACGAGGATCTCTTGTGCCTTGCAATGATGCACGAATGTTTCCCATCAATGTGATTGGGAAACGTTTGTGCGTCATCATTTTCCTTGGTGTGCCATCACTTAGTCATCATTTTTAGCGAAAATGAAGATTTACCTGTAGTTCTGCCAATTCTGGTCCAAATGACATGTTTTTTTTTGTGGTATGCACTCCTTAATTGCAGAACTATTCTAAAATGACAATGGATGTAGACAAATACAAATAAACAGTCCACAATCCAAAACATTCAACATTTTCAATGTATTTTTGACACTCATGATCATGTTTGTATGACCATGGTTTGAAAATATTACAAATATATTTATAGACTCTACCAAATACTTCCAAATATGTATATACCCTTCATCACATGTTGTTGCTTACTCATCTCTTTGGGGCTAAAGTAAAGAATTCTCTGTAGCTCTGCGAACTCTGGTCCAAATGACATGGTTTTTATGAGCAGCACCCTTTAATTGCAGAACTGTTTTAAAATGATAATGGATGTATACAAATACAAATAAATAGATCATAATCCAAAACATTCAACATTTTCAATGTCTACTTTATGGTCATAATCATAGTATTCTATGAAATACTTCCAAATATATACATACCCTTCATCACATGTCATCACATAGTCATCTCTTTGAGCTGAAATAAAGATTTCTCCACAGCTCTGCCAACTCTGGTCCAAACGACATGGTTTTTCTTGCAGTATGGACTCCTTATTTTTAGAATTATTCTAAAGTGACAATGAGTGAAGACAAATACAAATAAATAGTTTGAAAAATGAAATGTTCCACACTGTTGATGTTTAATTGATGTTCATAGTTTAAAAAGTTTCAGTATATCTACAAATTCTACCAAATACTTCCAAACAGATATATACCAGTCTTTACATACTACTGATTAGTCATTTATCTATCCTAAAAAGGCTTTTATGTAGCTCATCCAATTCTGGTTCAAATGACATGATCTTTTTTACAATATATAGATCTGATATGTGGTACTATAGAATAACATTTGATTATAAACAAATACAAATAATTAGTCATACAATAAAATGTGTAAAACAATTAACTTATCATAACTATGTATTACTTATCAAAAGTATATATAGTCTATGAGGCTAGATTTATTTGCAAAAATGGTATCAACCCAAAAATAGCTAAAGAATAGTAGAGCAATCAGAAAAAGTTGGAGGATGTCCTTACCAGTAGTAATAACATTATATATTGTGTTTACAGTCCATAGTGGACTTCCAAATATGGTAATCTATCGGAAAATAGTCATAAAATAGCACAAATTTCAGAGAAAATTGGAGGATATTGCTTTACTGTTAGTGATAATGTTATGCAACAGTTAGTTAATATAGTACTCAATCTACATATTACTATAAAATGAGCAAAAATTGGGAAAAACATAGAAATGTTTCTTATCATTGTGGAACCAATACTTGACATAGTGATCACTCAGGTAGTGGGACAGTCATTGGAATGCCTAGTGGACTACAATGATCAAAGGTGTGAGGACTCACCAAGTTAGTCTAAACAGCTTAGTTGCATGCTCGGAATCATAGAATGTGACTGTTCAGCACTGTCATACTCTGATCTCCANAAACAGTCCCAGTGGAGATTGTGACAATGAAGTTTTTGATGTCTGACTGCTGATCTCTCAAAG